TATTATATAGTAAATAGGTAGGTATATTATGTGTATAGGTTTATCAAAATAAATCGTTTCGTCCCTTAATTATAGGCTATAGCAACCATATATTTTTAAGATGATAAACGCGCAAATAATAATAAAAATAATAATAATAATAATAAAAACAAAGAAAAAAAATATTATATTATTTTCGGCATCGACTTCTACACGTCACGGAGCAGTGTCGGCCTGGTCATGGCCGGGGCCCCTACTTTTTAATTTATTTTTTTAGGGCCTCATAAATATTTTATTTGTTTGACGTGTTCCTGGTCTGTATAGTGAGTAGGGACTCCGCAAAATATTTATCGAAATATTTAACCGTATGTCATTTTTAGGCTAATTTTTTTTCTTAACAGGGCGTTAATTATGGGACCCTTAAACAAACTGATCCACTGGTGTGCCAGGCCGATACTGTCACGGAGAGACGTGTATACCGTCGGTTTTAGACTGAGGTATCATACAAGGTTTGAATCGGACTCGTCTGCGATATAAAAATATAAACTATTGTTTATAGGTATAATTTAACAATGTGTATAGGTATATAATTATAATATGCGATATGTATATCATTTCAAGTTTTTACTTGGACATTATCATGTACGGTATGCGATTACACGTACCTATAGGTATATATTATAATGATAGTGACTGTACATATATAAACTGTACATTGTATACTTACCTAATTTAATATTTGTATAACGGTTTTAATACGTATAATACCATAATGTGTAATGTGTTTAGGTGTATTATACAAGTTAATGAGTTGTAGTGTTATTAATATACATTAAACGTACACTATACAATATATATATATATGACAGTGTATCTTAAAGGCAGTGGACAGAGAAAAAAATACAGGACAATGGCGAGTTGTCTGCAATTACATCGGTTCGTCCTCACGTCCCTCCGCCAAAAGACCTTTTTCCGGAAAAGTAAAAGAAAAGCAATCCCCTGACCAGTGTGAAAAAAAAGCTAGTAGAAAATCGTTTCGGTAAAAAAATAACGTAGGTAGGTATACTCTGCGCGGTCCGACTGGTCACGGTATTTATGGTTCTAGATTAAGACCAAGTACGTGTAGGTGTGTGTGTGTGTGTGAATTTGTTTTTTTCCAATACATTTTTACACTTGAGTGTAAAACCACCCGAAATCATATAATGGCGGTGTGCGGCGAAGGACGACAAATTCGCTAGTTCCCGCGCGTGTGTTCTCGAGTTTCACCACGGTATACTGATTACTGGTACATATTATACCGGTATACTTTTATATATAGGTATATTAGGTACCTACTTCGAGTGTCTCGCACCACACGCTGCGAAACTTTGATATTTTTCACGAAATTCTGACAACTAAAAACCGTGATTGGCAGTTTAGATTGAAATCGAATAAATATAAAGGTCATCCGGCCGCGGGTGAAAATCGATTTTCCGAGTTATTTTCGTCTATGCTGCGGCGGTGACACGACTGCTATATATCCTATATATTATATTACTCGGTAAACAAAATTAATAATAAATTGTTTTTTATTTTATCCGCGAAAATAATAATATAAAGTCGTCGTTATGCGCAGCTCTGACGTCAAAACGCCATCGGCGTCCGGCGACAATCAATTAACGCCACCGACTCGTCTGCACACAACAGGTCGCGCGGAGTTTCGTAAACGTTCGCAGAAAAAAAAGGTCGGCCAAAAGCTTGTTGTTGTATACAATATATTATAATGCTCGAACAATGCCCGTCAACCGGCGAAAGGTCTGTTTGAAAAAAAAAAAATCAACCCGATTTCGCCTCCTATCCAAGCGATTTTCTTTTCTGCACCGTATAAAGCTCCGAGAAACTCGTTAGACCCGACGACGACGGTGTCCGCGCCCGGCTCAGATACCTTTTATACATAAATAAATGGGTGTAAAACTTACACGACGTGTGTGTATATATATATTTATTTTTTTTATCGCGAAGACCCACGTCAATCGAACGCATCCGCGAAGATAATAATATAATAACGGGCGGGGTAGTCGACTGAGAATGAGTGATAGTCATGAGGGGGTGTAGGTATGATGATGGGCGATCGTCGTAGAAGGATAGGTCGTCGAAGAAAGATATGGGTAGTCGTCGGTGAACGAGTAGAGGTGTACATGCCCACACTCGTGCCCGTCAATATTTGCCTGTCCGGAAACCCGTACATCACCACCGACCCGTGACCAGTGTCCGTTTACGTTGTATAGATACATCCAAAGTATAGATTTTACCTATATCTAGTCCAGATAATTTTCGAAGAATCATCTAACTATCTTATAACAAATATATGTATAATAAATACTGTCATCGTTTAAAATTATCCAAGTCTATGTTTTTTTTTTTTATCATTTCTGAATAATTATTAATTCCCTATACCTATATGTATAGTTAACATGATACTTTGTATGTTTTTATAAGGTAAAATCATATTATCATAATAAAAATATATTTATTGTTGTGTGGCTTATGATGACGTAACTACCTTATATGGTATAATATATACCTATATTCGTAATATTGTAAAAATTATGTAACCCAATATACAATATAAATGTAAACTAAAAATAACTAATTTATTTCAATGTATTAATAAAATTTTGTATAATCAGCTACAGTGGTTTTATATATTATTACCAGTGAGTTATTATTTTAATTACCTATCTTATATAATAATTATTCCAACTATAGATATACGTAATTGTACTTCAAATTATCTATCATCAGATTGTCTTACCTAAATAATCATTTAATTATCCAGGTACTCCAGCAGAAGGGTGTTTTCATCCTCCGAAATTTTGGGGTTTTTATGGTTGTCAATTATTATAAATAATAAGTAAGTCACTAGTCAGAATATAGATTTAATTCCGTAATTTTTATTTTTATTATACCTATGCGGCTATATCTATGATACTCTATAGGCACTATTATAACCCTATTATAAGAAAAATGTATTGTAAGTTTTGTTGAAACTATATTGGCGTATATCATGTTTGTTGAAAAAAAATATTTATTACTTTCAATATATTATGGTTTTCAAAAAATAAAAACCCCCAAGAAACTTTTATCCGCCTACGTTCCTGCCTATATGCCTACAAACACCACCTGTCAATGGCCAAGCCACGTCCTAGCTTTATCGTTCACCACAATATATCGTGTATTGATATTGATATATTATAACGACGTGTAAATCTTTCTTATTATTCACGGTATTTTATTATAATTAAAATATGTTTTATATAATATTGCACTCGAGATGAGCATTGCTATTGTGTATATAATATTAGATACCCCTTAAATGTCGTACATTATAGTTAATATATATACAGGTATGCAAATACGGGTATGCAGATATAGATATTCAAGATGAAAACCTCCTTTGATTAGTTTCACTAGTCAGCCGAAAAGGGTTGCGAAATTCGATGACGAAGGCATAGACTCGGAGGTAAAACGATTAATAACGTCAACTCCATAATATCGGCAACACGTACCTCTACGCGATATTATTATTATCGTTGTACCTACAACTAATATAGAAATCATCATTATTCAATTATCGTGATCAATCAATGCAAGTTGACTGCCCCACCAATACCAATATTACTGATCTTGCCACGAACGCCTTGAGTATCATACATGTTCTCGGTAGTTTTATTTACAACCCTGGCTGAGTTTCATAATATATATATGATAGGTATTCAAGAGTCAAGACGAAATTGGCAATTATAAGTAAAATATTTATTTGGCAATAATTGAAATTTTTAGGTGTACCACTGTACCTATCACCATTGATTACAAATATTATAGTATTCTGTATTTATAATCAATGCTATCACATATATTTGATGCACAAGGGCACAACTGCACAAGGCAGAGTCAACTTGATAATATCATATCCAAATTATGAGATCTGCAGTGTGAGCGTTGTGTTTCTATATTATGTTAGTTAAGATATTATAATATTGACAATGGCTATAAGAAAATAATATGATTCCTAGGTACTTGTATTCGTCATTGAATAATTTATTTTCATTTTTTTATTGAGAACTATATAATAATACCTACATATATAATAACTTTGACTTGATTAAACAGACAATGTTGACATGTTGTACTTTGAGACGGGGTACAGTCAATTGGTTGTATGAAATTGATCGTTTAGAAAATTAGTCGTTTGAAATAAGTCGTTTTCAAAATAATATGTACATAATATATTAAGTAAAAAATATAATAATTTGTCTGCATTTTCGAAACTGTTGCAGGTAAGTACTAAGTAGGTGGGTACTATTCAACTAGAAATATTTAAAATTACATCAAACTAATATCAAAAATATTAATCTTTCAGGTTATTAAAATGTCTATAAGAATTAATAATTTCAAATAAATTATAAATTGATAATTAACTTTTTCTTTTTGTAAAATACTTTCGACATAATATCGTTAATTAAAAAAAAAAACGGACAAGTGTGTACCGATCTTCTGTATATAGTATTTAAATGAGTCGTTGTAACGGATGGGTTTAATTTTAATTCAATGATATAAAATCATTGTATTTGTACCTATACGAAAAACGATTCTGAGCGAAGACGGTCGGTCTATCAGCGGGCGTAGGTAAATTGAGTCCCAAATAAAATTACTGTTTTTCAAAAGCGGTGAATCGAGTCCCTTGTATAAAAGTTAAAGCGGTGAATTGAGTCCCCTGTAAAAAAATGAAAGCGGTGAATTGAGTCTCTCGTATATTATTAGACTAGTTTTCAAAATTACCTATACGTATAATCGCGCGTGCACCATTAGTTATTGCGAGCATATAAGCACATCAATGTCGCGTATTAATAAAATACTTATCTTATCGTTTTTAGATGCGATTACTGTAGACTAGTTTTCAAAATTACCTATACATACAGTCGACAGTCGTGCACCATTAGTTATTGCGAGTATAAAGCACATCTATATCAACATTAATAATGGACGTAATGAAAAGTGAACGTAATAAAACAATTTTTATTTCTAATGGTTACAAATTTCGGTTCCATAAAATGTTAAAGAATGAAGTTCAGCGGTGGACTTGCTCCTTAAGTACATGTAAGTGCTATATGAAAATCAATGATTCAAACACAGTTATTGATAGTTTTGAAGATCACAAACACAATAAACCAGACGAAAAAACTTTGAACCGGCAAAAACTTAGCAATAGTCTCAAACGAAAAGCTGTCGAAGATATTAACATATTAACATTGATTACCCATTATTATTATTATTGACAAAATTAATTATTATATGTATTATGTATTATTCATTTAAAAGTTGACATTGATTACCCATTATTATTATTATTGACAAAATTAATTATTATATGTATTATGTATTATTCATTTAAAAGTTGACATTGATTACCCATTATTATTATTATTGACAAAATTAATTATTATATGTATTATGTATTATTCATTTAAAAGTTGACATTGATTACCTATTTAATAAGCATTATTAATTTACTAGAATAAATATTTTATAAGGGACTCAATTCACCACTTTCATTTTTTCACAAGGGACTCAATTCACCGCTTTCATTTTTTTACAGGGGACTCAATTCACCGCTTTAATTTTTTTACAGGGGACTCAGTTTACCTAAAAATAGTAATATAGGACTCAATTTACCAAATCCGCTATCAGCCTAAAATATAAAACCGGCCCAGTTCGGACTCGCGCACGAAGGGTTCCGTACCATCATCATCTATAAACATGTTGGCAACACTGCTTATATTATATATTCTAGGGTTTTTAGTATTTGTTGTTATAGCGTGGCAACAGAAATACATAATCTGTGAAAATTTCAACTTTCTAGCTTTCATGGTTCATGAGGTACAAACCTGGTGACAGACGGACGGACAGCGGAGCCTGTAGGATCCCGTTTTAGGGAACCTAAAAATCATAAACATTATAAAATATCACTGTAAAATCAATACATTCATCGCTCAGAATCTTGTATAGGTATATTAACTCTAAAAAAAATCGTCAAAACTATAATTCTAGTTTGCAAATTCTGAAAAACGATTTGTAATTGATTTGCTTATTATTGGCTTTGGTTTGGAACGGATTGGACAAAGTGTGAAGGGAATCTAATTATACAATTAGCACTAGACTACACAGTCAACTGGAATCCATACACACTGTAACTGAGGTACACTACAACTGTAATACATTCAAACCGAGATACACCTATATAATAGGTATTAATGTATAATAGGCGTATATATTATAATATACATAATTTTCCACAATAAAACTGCACACGGTTGAAGCCAGGATATTTAGCTAATCCTATTTGTGTTATTATGATGGTTAAACATTATAATTGTACATGCTGCTATTCAACTTTCATCGCAAAATGTACATAATATTATGATAGGTATACCTAGAATAATTATTATTATCCGATTATCCATTGATACCTACATAACGTAATGTTCTTAAACTACTGTTCACGTCTCGCAACGAAAATATATCCCAACCGATTGAAACATCGGCTAGTCATTTTAACATTTCCGATTGTCGTGCCGACAATGTAATCTATTATTACTTCAAGGTGTCTGCAGGGTGTCAAGTTAAAAGTGTAGATTAGGTATTAAATTTTAGAAAGGCGACTAGACGTGTCCATTTACAACAGACTTCAGGAGAAAACAATGTTATGGATTCCCAAGGATTCCAACGAACACTCTGAAAAACGAATTACGAATCTAATAAATGCACTTGCTGCTTAGCTAAACGACTATTTGCACTTCAACATATCGTTATGGTAGTCTACTATGTGATAATAAATTATGTACAAATAAAATTATGGTAAGTCATACATTCTAATACTCAGATAATTACTTTTAAATTATAATTTATCATATATTATTTTTTATTTCAAGCATACTTAATTAGCTATTGTAGACCTGTTAATTTTATCTTTGACTACGTGGTCAAGTGGTCAATAATGATAATTTCTGGCCAATCACAAAAATTATTATTTTTATCTAAGAGTTAGTGACAATGTCTGCCTCAGTTATAGGCTTTCAATAAAAAGGACTAATATCAGTGATTAATATAATATCAATAGGTACCCATGAAATACAGTTAGAGTTAATACAGATGACAGACTAACGATTTTTAATAATAATTAGTAAAAATGGTAAATTATTTACCTGAACATCATTATTCATCATTGACTTTAACATAATATATACTAACGTGTTATGTATAAATAATATTGTATTTCCAGGTCACTCGAATAGTTTTTTTTCAAATCGTATATAGGTAGTCATCCGGAAAAGATTTTCATGTCGGTATGCACACGGTTAATACGATGGCGTGCATTTCTACTAGGAAGGGGGGGAAGAATTCGAAGGAGTTGACCGCCATCCAACCTCTTATGCGTCGTGCTTCGACCTTTTTTTAGATTCCTATATACCTTTAGTTGTTTGTTTTACGACGATGTGAAAGTTTTTTTTTTTTTTCAATCCATATGCTTTTCGGTGCCGTCGAATTGCTCCAAATTACTGGGGAGGTCATTGTTATTTGTTTTTCCCGGCAATTAAAATAAAAACACATTTGGAGAACGTATAATCACGTCCATTTCAAATGATGACCGTTTTTGCGTTACTGCAGAGCTCTTGTCGTTCAAAAATCTTTTTTTTTCCACTCGTACGATAAATGTATATTATAGTACACCTATAGCTGGTAATAATATGTTTATATTTACTGTATTCTTTTTATTACTATGGTCGATTTCCACAATAACACATTAAAAAAAAATGCTGTTTATACTTACATTTTATAGTGACATCAAAATGTACAATACCTATAACATTAAATTATATTCAACAACCGATTTTTATTTACTATTATTTATACGGATTATACGGTCCTTTTGCTGGTTTTTCATTTCGTGTCAGACGATAATAATATGCCAGCACGTTACCTCTCCTCCCCCTCCCGATACGGGGATTGTTGATCTGTGCTCGGCACTCATGCCACTAAGTAGCGAATTCAGGGGGAGGGCAAAGGGGGCATTTCCCCCCCCCCAAAAAAAAAATAATCCGTGAATCCGCACTGATGCCACTGTCCATATAAACCAACACGTTCGTCTTGCATTAATATACCATTCGAAAAAGGTAATGTTCAAATAATTCAAACGTATTTTAGTCATGTTTGGGGGGGTGAAATATTTACCCCCCCCCCCACAAAAAAAATGGTTTATATCATTTTTTTTCATTTGAAAACAAAAGCCTCGGCGACTAAGGGCCATTGACTACAATAAATAGGTAGTCAGAATTATTGTCAGTTATAACTCGACTGTCAATATTATTCGTCAAGTGGAAGTGTACAAAGCGTATATTATGTTCCGTATATTTTCGTTTTTACGTTCCAAATTTATTTAGAATTTACAACAAATAAAATGACTTTTTTTTTTTTTTGCTCGTAAAACAAATCTCTTCCTAGAGAATTAAATTCTCCTGGATGTCGATCACCTGGGACTAAAAATTTCAAATGTAGCTCACTTGTTTGAAAAGGTTGGCGACCCCTGGTCTACGGTTATACTTCAACTACGCTTAATCAGCTGATAACAGATATTTAACCGGGCGAATTCGGCCAATTAAACTCCGGTTAACTTTAATCGTACAACTGACCCAACTGACCCTGGTGCATTTCGAAAATTCTGGTTATGTATAATATAATATAAAGAATAGGTGGTGCATTTCGACAATCTCCCTCTATAAAACTCGACCTACCCGTTTAATAATTATTATAATATGCATGTGTAATGCGTATATAATATTATGAGGTAACAGTTTTAATTTGGATAATATTATTGTTATTACCGCAATACCACACACACATATATATATTCCTACTTGCACCCGTTGCAGCATGTATATTATACAGTCCACCGCCAAAGCCTACAATATCCTTTTTGCAATTACACCATATACTCGTGCAGGCGGCGGTAAAGGATTAAGAGCAGCCGCTCCGGAGCAGAATTTATATACGCCCGCCGAGCCTCCTCTGTCCCCGCCTAGGCGACTAAATGAAGGCATACGAGGACCGGATGACCGCGGTAATCCGCCGCCGCCGCAAACTTTTTTCCGGTCGACCTTTGCGCGCACGGTTCGACCGTTACAATAATTAAACGTCTCTTTTTTTCTTCCCCCCTCATATCCTCCCCCTCCTCGTCATCGTAGTGTGGCCTCTGCAGACTATACACCTACCCACGCGACCATTAAATCCGGTGACCTTCCGGCCGGGCACGTTTATCCCGCCTCGACCAGCTCCTCCGAGTCATTTATCATCGTCAACGCCGTCGTCATTACTCATTAGCATCGCATCGTCGTTATATCGTCGTATGGGCGGCGAGATAAACCGCTCTCTCTCGAACTTATATACTTATCTCAAACTTATATAATATACGGTCCTTTTGCTGGTTTTTCATTTCGTGTCAGACGATAATAATATGCCGGCACGTTACCTCTCCTCCCCATTCCCGATATGGCGATTGTTGATCTGTGCTTGGCACTCATGCCACTAAGTGGCGAATTCAGGGGGAGGGCAAAGGGGGCATTTCCCCCCCCCCCAAAAAAAATTAATCCATGAATCCGCCACTGATGCCTGCACTGTCCATATAAACCAACACTACCAGCAACTAGTTTGGGCTACACTTACTGAAAATCGCCGCCGCCGCCTGCTCAATTTATCTGGCAACGACTGTAATTGGGCATTGCACTGTATTATCAATGTTTAAAACAAAATTATGAAGTCTCGACGATTTGGAATTAATTTTCGACATTTTTAAATAAATAGGTATACAACTTTATACAATATAGAAACTCACTTTGGACTATCGAAACGTAGAACACAACTGGAATTAGCGAAATAATTGTTCGATACCGACTCCGGCGACAACGGTGTTTTATATTTATTTTTGTCGCGGAACAATGACGACAAGGCACAGTAATCGAAATGTATAGAACTCTAGAATAACCCCACAATTCCCACCACGGCGGTGGGTGAAAACGGCTATTGCCGCCGCCGTCGGGACATTTCGAACTATTTATTAAGCGTGTAGAGTCCGTTAATATATTACTATAGGTTAGGTTAGGTTATATGTATCACGAAAAACCTCACATATATGTACTAAAAGCATGTTGAATATAAAAATATGATCAATCAAGTAAAAATCAGATAAATATGCAAAAATATGCAAAAATTAAATTGATAAATTTGAATTCTTTAGGTGATGAAACAAATGTCTATCTTACTCCGCATTAATTTAAATGTTATTAAAAAATATGATAAATGCATAAACATCCACTCCCTAGTAATAATGTATTCATCTCAAAGTTATGAAGTTGTAAAGTTTTTTTTTTCGTTCATTCCAATTATAGGTATTAGTGTATGATAATAATATGTCGTAGCCACTTCGACAAATAGCCTTTTTTTTACAAAAAATGTATAGTTATATACATAACAATACATATATACAATGTATAGTTGTTCGCCTAATCGCTTGTTGTACGTACATACATAAGCGTGCGCAGGTCTTCTTGGCAGGGGAGGCAATACCTTTGCTAAGGAGATCCAGACTTCAAACCCCTCCCCTAGATATTTTTTTCACCGCTTAGACCTCGATGTGAGCCAACGATTAATAAATAAATCCTCACACAAAATCAAGTATATGATTATATTAAACCATGGTATTATTCTATACGGTTAAGAGTTAGGTTACACATAAAATTACCAAAATAGTTTTCAATAAATCCTTTTTAATAATATTTATCTTTAATGAATAGATAACGATAAAGAACACATACCTAATAGAACATAGAATACATAATAACAAAAAAAAAAACAAAAAAAACATAATTTGAACAACTTTTAAAATAGGTAATAATGTAGTATGTTTTATTAAAGTTCCATACGTCGTTTGGAAGTAGGGTCTAATGTTTTAAAAATGTCTATTACTTCTTCATAATCTACATTATAAGCTTGTTCCTGTTCAATGAACATGTTTAAAAGTCCATCTAATCTTTCCTGACTCATCGTACTTCGTAACTTTGTTTTAACCAAATTTAGTTTTGAAAACGTTCTCTCACAACTACAACTTGTTACTCGCATTGTAATAGATAACTTGAATGCTTTTGTGATACTATTGAAAATATTTTGTCTATCACAAGAAGATAACCATTTAATCCATTCATCGCATTTATTTTTCAATATATTTTTAGGAACACTGTCGTAATTTTGTAAGAGTCGTATTTCTGTTTCTAAAGTTAGTGTATCCAGATTAAACGATGAAGCTAATGTACACACATTGACATAATTTGTTTGTAAAATTGTTAAATTGGCTATACTCTTAATCATATTAATTGTTTCTTGATTAAAACGAATAGATATGCCATTGATCATTTGATTCAAAGCTGTATTATATACAGTTAGTTTCATTTCTTCTTATTTAGTTTGAAAGAAATACTGGTTGGTATGAGAAGTATCTACTTTTGATGAAATTTTTCTTTTTCTTAAAGTTGGAATTGGAATATCAATATCAGTACATAATCTAACAGTATTTTTATAAATATTTTGAAATTATATATTATGTATATACAATATACATATATTTAATCTATGATATTATTATTGTCGATTAAAATATTATTACAATTTGGTAGCCGGTAGGTATCCCGATTTAAGATATTGGTATATTTTAAATCTTGGTAGGTATTAATGTCAATAATGTGTTATGTATAATAATATAATATAAGATCTCGGGGGAGCGGAAAAATCTCGCAGCGGAGGCAGCTGCCTCCCCTGCCTCCCCCGTGCGCACGCTTGTACGTACATATATAATGAAATACAACCTAATTTACACACGTCAAGTTTGATTATATCTGTTACGGACAAAAGTGGAAATCGGGCAAACCTCAGAAATGCCCGGGCAAAACTCGAACTGCCCATAATCCTTGGGCAAAATGTCACATTTCGGCTTTTGACCGGACAAACAAACCTAGTTATGACCAACCTCATTTGGGCAAAACCGCATACTGACTTTTATCGTAATGGCAAAACCGTTGTGTCTTATATAGGTACGTTCGATAATATTAATACAAATAGTGATTTTTAAGAATTTATTACGATTATAAATGACCCCACGTATATTGTTAATTTATCGTTGTTATCGTATTTTATCAACTCGTTACCTATATTAAAGGTACACAAAATGGAAAATACACCTTATCTAAATGGTACAATATTGTACTGTAGTTCGTATTTTTGTGAGCATTTTATATTAGTACGTCTTTAGCAATGGCTAACGAAATATGTGCGTCTGATTTTAAAACTAAATTTGAAAAAAAACTTAATGAAATCACAAAAAATGAATGTAAGTGCTCTGATAAGTGATACCAGATACGATGAATTCATAAAAGAGGTAGAACAAGCGAAGGTCAATTCAAAGAAAACAACCAGCGAATTCAGGCGACTTAATAGATTTGACGTACTCACAATCGGTGAGTCTAAAAAGTTAATAGTTCCACCAAGTAAAACCAATGGTGACATTATATTTATTTTGTAAAATGCAATGAAATGTTCGATATATTGCACATGGCTCATATAAATTGTGGACATTGTGGTCAATGTTATTTTTTTATTATTATTTAAGTGTATTCAATTATATTTTTACAATATTTTACGATTATTATTTATTTGTATTTAATATTAGTGAAGTTATTTAAGATGCTACGGTTTTGCCCAAATGAGGTTTAAATGTATTAATTTTTTTAATTATTTATTTAACATTTTTAACATTATAAGAGAACCTAATACTATTATTTAATTATTTTTATACGAGTACTTAATATCATTATATTTTTATTATTGTTTAAGTGTATCAATAATAGTTGTTTTATCATTATTTGTAATTAATATTAGCGAACGTATATAAGACACAACGGTTTTGCCATTACGATAAAAGTCAGTACCTATACGGTTTTGCCCAAATGAGGTTGGTCATAACTAGTTTTGCCCGGTCAAAAGCCGAAATGGGTGGAGACTCATTTGCGCACACATTAATATATTTTTTAAATTTACGACAACTCATTTGCGCACAAAATAGTAAACAATGGAAACCAGCTTTTAGGTACAGTTTTGGGTGTACAGGGTGTCTTAAGCTGTCCAACACGTTACACGTTCAATATTATTGATATCAATGATCACCCGTTATTAGAGTATCTTCAATATAGCCTTATATAGTCTTAAAGCATAACGTGATTTCACATCAGTTCTTATCTATCAAAAATGGCAATATCTTACCCTATTTTTGTTAAACGTTAAACCTAATTTATTGTAATTTGACAAAAATTTGAATAATGTGTAATAGCTAAAACAACATTTTTAACCCGCCAGTCTATAACATCAGAATATGATGAGACAGAAAGTCCTAAGCCTTTTAAAGGGTGAAGGAAAATGTTGTTTGAGTATAATAATTGTCCACTATCAGTATTGACCAAATCAAAAATATGGTGGTACGGAGATTATGTACGTGGATAAAATTTTTGGAAAAAAGGTTTCTATTGTTCGTAAATTGTGCGCAAATGAGTTATGTTACTCTTGCTACCCATAACACTAGTATCGGCAGGTCATTATACCACTATTGCCATACCTATTGTTAGCGAACCCGATAGCGCGCGTTAATACAATAACCATTGTCATGTTATTTAGCACCCGTTCCCCCGACCTCACCCGCTGCAGTGATCACCGTCGACCACGGTTTAAGATCTATCTTAAACCGTGCCGTCGACCGCGGCTCGCGGCTGTCCGGCACTTCTGTCGCGACCGCCGGTGCACACATCGCAGTGCTTTTCTGCTCCAAAGAAGCTTATTATTGTACGAATGCCCACACTGCCCTGTCCCCACTACAAGGACAGAGACGAAGCCGGAAGCACAGCCACCGGCCCAGCACTGTCGTCTGTCACCATCGGGCATCGGCCATCGGCTCAAATTTCGAAACTCCCTCGTTTTTTTTTCGCGGCCCGTCCGCCAAGACGTCTTTCTGGTCATTGGTCAACGTCGATACACATACACTTGCGCCTTCCTCACCAAACACCTCGAAGTCTATCACCGCACACGACGTCCGT